TGACGAATGAATGAAACTCATTTACTGTTTCTCAAAGCCAATGTGTAGCTAGATTGTGCTTTGAGCTAGTATTGTGTTGATGTGTTCGTTTGTTTTTCTTTTTCACTCTAATCAAAATAGTAGACAGTTCGTTAGGAATTTGTGTTTCCAAATGGCCTTTTTCAGGTGAGCAGCACCCTGAATGTGTAGGCTGATCTCACCTGATTTAAGTTGCTGTGTAGACTAGCAACAGTTACATGTATAGGTTTACTTTACTATATTTTTTTTTCAGGTGGATTACAAGTTACTTTTACTTCCAACACTTCAGTCGCCTAAAAAGACCGCTTCAGCCAGGGTGGATTTAAAGTATAAACCGTCACAACTTATAAATCATAAGCATAATGAATATTGTAAGAACAAAACACATTACGCAAAATTTTGCTCAATCCCAATGGTTTGAATGAGGGCCAGATTTTTCCTTCATGGAGGGGCAAAAGCTAGGCTACCATTTTGGCACACTTTGGTCAAATCAAAGATAGTACATAACAATATGGGCCACTCAACCAAAAAAGTGTCCGCCGGAAGTCCGCTCTTTGCTTCAGATGGCGCTGCAGTCTGTTTTGAAGCTCTCTTTCTTTTTTCCAGAAGAAAAATAGGAATAGCACCTCCTTGCTTGCGCAGATCGACTGCTGTTCATCAGCAGTTCGGGTTCGTTCAGTGCGGAGTTTTAGTTTTTAAAAATTTTAATGCCCTCTCGCCTTTCATTCTAAAGTCAAATTAAACGAAGAAAACAATCACCCTTTCCTCCGGAAGAGGTATTTTGTCAGCGTAACCATTTAAAAAAAGCGTTCTTCCGAAATTTATTTAAAAACTTGCTAGTTTCACTTTGATTTTTTAAGCTCAAGTAGGGTAACTCTGTTCGCAAAGGGTGCACATTTGCGAAGACGGCGCCACCGAATTTTGAGGACACTTTTTTAATTGGCTCAAAGATAGGAGTGGCCCATCTTGTTATAATGTACTATCTTTGGTCAAGTGAAAAGGTCAAATCCTCCTAATGGACTTCCGGGTCAAATGAATTGAGGTATAAAAAGTGTGTACACAACGTGGCTGAGTCAAATTTACACTATCTTTGCCTAAGTGGCACTCTCTCGTACTGTTTCGTAGTAGTGCATGTAGTAGTAGTTAAGTAGCAAAGATCGTGTGGAGAATCTTTGGTAATAGATTCGATCTAGTAGGCAGTTTAGTGAACGTTCACGCGGCAGGATGAATCGGCCTCGATAAGCCCCGTAGACTTTTGTGATCGGCCATGAAGTCTTGTGTTTTGATGGTCTAAACAACCCAGTGTTAATCGCACTGCCACATCCGACAGGCCTACATCTTTTTAAAAGGAAAAGAAAGATCATCAAAATGGTTGAATTCGCGTGAAAATCGATTCGGTAGAACTGGAACTATTAAAACTTGCTTCTGAAAACAAGGCAATTTATATAACTCGATGAAATAAAAACTACTGGCTGTGTTATTCTGTATAAATTATGAAACTTCAGGACGTATTATTATTTTCCAACATCTTTTGACGCCTGAGCTGCAGAGGTTGAAGTTTTCACAACACTAATAGATCTAGATCTAGTAATAGGGCTTTCCGTAAAATATGCATAGATCTACAAAAGCCGAACCACCGAATCGACCGGTCAGCGACCCGGGCACCCCGCTCTTCTCTGCACACTGTGATAACGTGTTGCTTCGGTATCGCATTATTCAACTGTTAATACGTGCGGCTATGGCAATTGGGATGAACTGACTGACAAAACAATTCACAGTTTTGTTTTTATTTTACCATATATTTGACTATTAATAGTGCAGGTGATAGCTAGATCTAGATTCCCTGTCTAGAATCAGTAGTAGCAGGCCTATGCTAGAAGCAGCCAGAGAGCCTAGAACTGCTAGATCTAGATCTAACTTATTGCTCTGCCTTTGGGCTTTGGAATTGAAATAAAACGAATTGCACAGTTCTAGTTAATTTTAGATTCAGTAACTAACTGTATTTCCAGAGTTAATAATAATAATAATAATCTCACCATAACAATCACGTTTACTTTTATTAGAATAATCAGATCCAACTTTTTAAAAATAAAATCTCTTTTGCGCAAACTTAAGATTTTTTCTACTTGTAGAG